GCTGCATTATGTAAAGAAAAGAGCAGCGCGTTAACGCTAATGCGCATGGCATGATGAAGACGAATTGTCACCGTCTCGTCATCTGTCTCTTGTGAACTCCAGAAGCGGGGAAAGACGGGAGAAAAGGGAGTACTCGCTGGCATCGCGGATCAGGAATGAGTCAAATCAAGAGTGCATTAGTGGCTTTGACGGACAACGAGCATGCACGTTGTGAAGGGAGCGAATACATTAAGTCTGAAAATACTCAGTGGCAGTCTGTTGGTGGATACATGAGCAAATAGCTGCAGCACTCACTAATCAACAAATGACCTTTAAGACTTCTCCGCAGCGAAATGAGACGCGGTTGATGTGTCTGATGTGTTTCCCGTACAGCCGATAATAACGGTAGAAAACCCTCGTGGAGGTTTCATGATTCCCCGCTGTTTCTCCTCTGTCTGAATAACAAGGTTCAATTATTAAATCGGCATTGTTAAGAGCTTTTATTCTCGAGCTTTTAGAGAGGAGTATTCTCGCTGTGCGGTTGTGTTTGAACAGGGTGTCACAGGCCTAATTGCAGTGTATTGACTCGTGTTGGCAGGAGGTCCTCAACATGAGTGTAATGGCACATTCAGCTCGTTGACAACACTCAGACCGCTTGTTCAACTTTGGCTGATTGCAGAGAATAATTTCATACATATCAGATGATTCATTCTCAGAGTTTAATAGGTTTTGGCATTAATGTCCTGTATTATAACACGCTGTTTGTTTGTTGTGAGTTGTTGAACCGAAATAAGGTGAAAGGAGTTCGGAGGAGTATCGCACAACAACGTGGACACTCCAGCGCAGAAGTATGTCGTGGTAATGTTGGCGTGGGATGGCTATTTTCAAGAATAGTTGATTCAAACCCTCATAGGGGTGGACCTTTAGAGATATCTATCCACTCCTGAAGCAGGGACGACATCGGAAGAGTCTAAACTAAAATCTAGACCGCTGCTCAGATGAGAGTCAGTCTGACAATCAGAGCGGAGAGGCACAAGATCCAGGGTGTTTGAAGTTCCACATCTGGGGTGCCATGAATCATCTCAGCCTGGAGATTTTAGAGCATCTCATGTCTCCATCTGCTGACAAGCTCCGTGAAAATGCAGATTTCCTTCTTCAGCAAGACTTTGCACCTGCCCACGACGCCAAAACTTCTACCAAATAGTTTTCTGAACTTTATATTTATGGAAAACCAATCAATAACACAGGAAATACTGGAGGAATAACAGCGCTTAAAACCGAGGTAGACCGGACAAGAGCTAAAAATGCCGGATCAACATCAATGAAGCATATCAGGGACGCTTCGGGATCTTGCAGACCCTGTAACCTTTCAGCTGGACAGGTAAACCGCTTTAACAAAGTAAGACAAGTGTCTGTAACAGAAGTGTTTCTTGTCAAACGGACCTGCTGTAGCGTGTTGTAGCGCCATCGCTAAACTGTCTCCCTCGGGTCCTGGACTATGTCACTTTATCCTAGTTGTAGAAGTCCTGCAAACATTGTGTTTGCTGGTAGTCTGTTGGCATCTACAGTAGCACCAATGCTTTTGACTTTTACATCGACTGGGCCCCGTGTATAGATTTCAAGATTTAAGATTCGATATCTGACATTCAGGACTTCTCCGAAAAACTGGCACTTCCTCAGATCCTGACTACCCCACCTTTAAATGACAAAAAAAAAATCTCCTTTTTTTTCTGAGATGCACCTCATCCAGCTGATTTTACAACTAAAGACGTGGCCTAAATGTTTTCCTCGACACTGTCCTCAAGGTCCACAACACCGAACTGAACTCTTAACTTCAACAATTTATCAGGAGTTCAGAATTTATCATCAGTTAAAAGCCTCTCCATCGGCACATATTGCTTATAATCTGCTAAATGTTCACAGAGAAAGTTTTCAATGTCTTCAAAAACCAGAAAATCAGTCTCCAGCCGTTTTCCAGCCGGCTGAGTTTACGGTTAAGTTGTTCCTCAGCACTTAATGATAAAAAAAAACCAAGAGGAAAAGTCTTTTGTTCAACACTGAAGAGTCAAGGCTGACCTGCTGACTTGGTTGACTAATATCGAAATATTTCTCGAACCCTCACCAAAGTCCTTTTGTTTCCTCCACACAAACTCAAGACGCGATCTCTGCTCCACCAGTGCCGATGTTAACACTTGTGCACGACCAACATCCGCCCTGAGCGCCTCTTTACACCTCCTTTCTGCTGGAATAATGAATCACTTCCCCCGTTCCTCTAAGACACTTTGCTGTGAATCTTTTCCAGGCAGCGATCATGTTCCTGCAAGAGGTAATCTGCAAAACAAATTTGTGATATCAGAAGTAATTCCCAGCCCTGTCGCCTGTTGCGATGTGGCGAAGTGTGTTTTTAAAAGTGAGAACGACTCAGCCCATAAATCCTGCGGTTTTGTGGTGTGAGGACTCCTGCGGGTGAAATCTCGCCTCGCAGGAAACAGTGGTGGAATGTAGGAGCCGCAAATATTCAGTGACATTTTTGCATGTTTGAGATAATAACACCTTCCTGTGGAAACATGAACATGATAATGATTTAGTGACATTAGATAGAACCTTTTAACACTTAGTTTTAGCTCTATGTCTCCGTTGGAGAAGCTGTGCATGACTCATTGTTTAAAAAATCATTTGTCTTTGTGTAACACTGGCCTTTTTATGCAGCTATGAGTTTGTTGACCGTCTCAAATTAGCTGTTTTAGCACCTTTTTCTTCAGGTCCGTCAATCAAAGCCTTCCTGTTAGGATGGCAAATCTAGAAAACAAGCTCTATACCTTCATGGTAATATCACACCTCCAAGACTGTTCATGTTTCAGGTGGAATATGATCCAGACGACAAGAGGGACATGTCTTCTCGGGTAAATATAACGGCAGCTACCTGCTTACTTTGTGGCATTAAAGGGGAATTCCGGTATTTTTCAGTTTAGGGATGTCAAAATTGCTCCAAAATGACGTTCGAATATTCATTCTAAAAATAGCACATAGGCACATCAACCATATTTGAAAATCTAACTTACTCAGCTTGCATATAACTTTATCTTGCTCAGTATTTTTTCCGTCTACCGTGTCTGTCCAAATTTTTCAAACAAAGCTTCTAAAGTTCGTTGGAGTCCAGACCACTCTCTCAGTGTTCATCACGCTGTCGATGGAACTCTGCATGTTCCATCGACGGTTTTTGTCGAGTCTCACTGCAGGTGCAGCTCTGGTGTCCTTGACCCGTCGTTACAGTGCACTCGCTCGCAAAGCAGCTGCTGTTTTTGTTGTTGTTTTCACACTCAGTATTTCCTGCTGTTTATTTGATATTCAAATATTGGTTTTCACATTCGAATCAGTTTTTTTTTTTTATATTCAAATTTATAATATCCGTTGACGACCCTATTTCAGATTCGGCTCTTTTTTCCCAAATGTTTGACTGATGGGAGAACAGTTTCTGGAAATCGGTTGAGTATTGAGCAAAACGCTTAGTTTAAAAAGACGAAGTATTAAAAAAAGACTATAGGATTACAAAAAAAGTGATATAAATATTAAAAAATAAGAAAATAAAATGAAAAAAGTGGTATCAACAAATGTTATTGAAGTGTGGATAAAAAAAGAGTTATGCAAGGCAGAAAGGACATATCTTAAAGTTTGTAGCTGATTAAAGTAAAAGTTACGGAAATAAGAGGTTTTAGACTGCGGGGCGTCTCCTTTAGCTGTGTGTCATTGTTACTTCTCTTGTTATGTGTTACTTTTCTCTGCACCTCCTTTGCATGGCACCTGATCTGTGAAAAACATCATCCTCAGCTGTGCGCGAACAATTCAGATGCATGAAAGAAAGTTGAGCTGGTTTAGAGCTATAATCACCAGGAAACCTTCAAACTGACTTATTTTTGTGAGAGGTTATCATACTGTCAGAGAAGGTGATAATTTACCTTTTTTTTTTTTTTTTTACAGTGTATTCTCTGCGTGGAAACTGTCCTGATAATTGTCAGATGATCTCACAGGTACATTGGGAACACTCAGGCTGTGTTTGTTCACCGTGAGGATGTTATTCGTTAGCTTTGGGAAACGATTCACTCAAACTGTGTTGAAATTCCACCCCGATAGTCTACTGTGTCGCACCTTTCCTCATTTATTCAGATTATGTTGTCATAGAGCTCGACAGGCATCAAAGTCCTCCACGGCACATTCACAGACTCCTTAAAAGGCTTATGAAACACCTTTACCTCGATGAAAAGAGATCTGAAATCAGAGGGTGCTTTGAATCTCTCGCAGCTGTATTTAACTCTTAACTTTTACTCTCTCCTCTGGTGGCACACAGAGAACATTACCCAGGAGTCAATTGCTTTAGCGTTTCAGACGTACATCTTAAACATCGGCGCTCAAGATGGTGCGATCTAAAGGAAAGTGTTCGTCTTTATTTAAATCACAAACTAAACTCACACTTTTGCTGGAGAGGCTGACGAGCGTCTGAATCACTCTGAAAATCAATGTGAAAAAGATCAGGAGGAGTCACATGTGGATTGCATTAAGAATTTCATGGAGTGCTTCTCTTTTAAAGATGACACCGGCTTCATAAAAACATCCACACTCATACGTTTCTACATATTTGTCATATTTTCCTTTAGGCTCAACAGCTCATTAAGTAGAAACATGTTCAGTCGGTGTCCCATCAAGTCAGATCTGCATCACAATCCTTTATTTAAGCGGTTCGTCCAGATCTAACGCTCTTACATGGAGTCGCCTGTCTTTCTCATGACCTCAGAGTCCTGACCTCGATTTTTACATCTAAAAATAATAATCTTAGACATGTAATGATAAAAGCTTCCCAAAATATTAATACGGGTTTTGAAAATAAAGTCAAAGCGAAGAAAAGTTACTGAAAAGTAGCACCTGTGTACGATGTAGTCTGTTTCCGAGGGAGAAATGTTGACTTGAAACTAGGAGACTTCAAGAAAGTCGACCAAGTGCACAAAAAATGTTAAAGGTGGTGTAGTCAGGATCTGAGGAAGTGACCGTTTTTGGGAGAAATCTTGAATGTAAACTCTACCCCCTCCCAACCAGTTTTCCCCTCAGCTCCTCCTCTCCCCTCCCTCTCTGCTCCATCAAGCCCCGCCCACAAACAGACGCAGACACAGAGGCCCAGTCAAGGTAAAAGTCAAAAGCATTGGTGCTACTGTAGATGCCAACAGACTACCAGCAAACACAATGTTTGCAGGACTTCTACAACTAGGATAAAGTGACATAGTCCAGGACCCGAGGGAGGACAGTTTAGCGATGGCGCTACAACACGCTACAGCAGGTCCGTTTGACAAGAAACACTTCTGTTACAGACACTTGTCTTACTTTGTTAAAGCGGTTTACCTGTCCAGCAGAAAGGTTACAGGGTCCCCAAGATCCCCAAGCGTCCCCCATCCTTTTATGTTGACCCGGCTTTTTAGCTCTTGTCCGGTCTACCTCTGTTTTAAGCGCCCGTTATTCCTCCAGAGTCTCCGGTATTTACTTTGTTTTCTCGCTTGTGTCGGCAGTCGTGGCTAAAGGAGGATTCAGACAATTTTCCGAACTTTCTGGTTGGTTTCTACTGTCCGATATTGTAGCAAGCTAACTTTGTTTGGGCTCCTGAACGACATGGGGGAGCAGCGTCTGCCTCACAACCAAATGTCATCAATAACTAATAACTATTGACTGATATTAAAAGCTTTTTTGTATATACACCACAAAAAAAGATGCGTCTTTAACGGATTCCTGCCTACGCCACCTTTATGTTCAGCCTGTTGGGTCAGCCACATGTCGGACGCCCCTTCCCCAACCCTCAAACTCAAGTATCAACCTAACACACCTGGTCCGGACAACACCACTCCTCTGCTGCTGGGTTAGCGGGTTAGGATGGTCAAGGATGAGCTAAACTATTTTCTCTCAGTTTTAGATCCTACAGAAGAGGTTTCAAAGTGTGTCCAGTTCTTTTGATTTCAAAATCGATCCATCTTGAGTCGGCCTCAAGGACAAACTAACACAAGAAGCCTCTAAAAGCTTGATAGAGTTTGAATTTCATTTCATTTTTTTGAATTCAGACTCTTTCTTCCTTCTTCTCATTGCTAAACTGGAAGCTATGCAGCCTGTTTGATCTATTTTGTGAGTTTCAAACATTTACTGAAGGATTTCAGATTCAAGTTTTGACGGAAGTTAAAAAAGGAACAATCTGTCAGCTCAACAATTATCACTTACACTGGGATTGTGGGAAAAAAAACCTGTGGATGTGTTAGAATAATACCTGAATCTCTTTTATTTCACTTGATTTTTGTAGAAATATAAAAAACACAATTCACTGATGCTTTTCTCTTTGAGTAAATACCCCATATTTCATCAATAATTCATTTTGAGCAGCTGCGATTGATAAATGATCAAACTTATGTCTAAACTTTTGCAGACAGACTTTTTTTGGAGCTGCTGAGATATTCATCAGCTGATACAAGGATTTAACAATCAGGTAGACACCTTTCCTTTCTGTATACACTCCCCTCTCCCCGAGACGCTGAGAACCGTCATCACCTGGCCGGCTCTTAAACTTCATCTCCTTTTGTGACCCCGTTAAGAAGCTTTTTGCGTCTTCTCACCTGTCTGAGGTGAGAGACACCTTGCTGTCGGCCCGGCATGCTCTGAATCAAGAGTGCGCGTAAACAAGTTCTGCCTTTAATGGAGAACAAACTTAATGGGCCACTGCACCTTATTTCTCACAGAGCAGGAAACAGCACAAACAGCATCCAGTCTCCTCTATCAGAGAACCACATCAGGATCACAAGGTTAACTCAGGGAGCAGGGAGCTCCATCACCTTGGCGATCTGGGTCCAGACTCAATTATTAGCAATCAAGCAGCCGGCTGGAGTGTCCTTCAGTAACACACTGCACCCTGTATTTCTTTGTGGAGGAGCCGCCCCCTCAGAGACCGCTGATACATATCCCAGAAGTGTTATTATAATCAAATAACTCAAGTCGCAGAGAAATGAATGCTAATGTCACCTGGATTCCTCTGTTAAGTCTGGTGATTGGTGACAGGGAAAAGAAGCGTTTTTAATGGTTATTTTTGATTTATCTTGATTTGATAAGGAGAACAGGTAAGAAATGTTGGCAGCAGAGAGTGGAGGATGACCCCAAAAGACATATTTTTTATCAGGACTTAAGAGAATACAAAATGTGACAGTATCAAGATTTTAGTTTTGGGAGTGCCTTTGTAGTTCAAATTGTATTTAGCGACTTTTATATCAGTAGAAAAGGAAAAATGGGGAGTATAGAGAGCAAAAGCAGGCAGAACGCCATACACCGGCAGTGCTTTAAAGGGATATTCCAGCGTAAAATTAGGTAACGGTCAAACACACTGTAACACCGCGTTAGACACCTCTTCGAGAGATGAATGTTGCCGACCGCTTGCTTCTCTAGTTATACCAACTTTAGTAACGACCGCAGGATAGCAATACACAGCAGTCTGAGAAGCCATAAACAAACCTCAACCAAAACGCCACTCTATCGCCACAAATAATGCTCAGAACAGCACCTAACTTCGACAACAGGACTTATAGGGTCACAGCCATAGTACTAGACACCAAACATTTTATTAACATGGACTAATTTCTTTAGCAAAGAGACTAAACACAACTCACCTACTCTCTTCCACTACACTGGGTGGTAATTAGCCCCAATCAGCTCCTCATTAAAGCAGACGAAGTTTAGAGTTTAAAGTCCTCAGTCGGTGACAGGGGATACCTTCTGAGAATGTGTGGATTTATGACCTTATTGTGCATTTCAGATATAATCTGAATTAAATATAACCTCCATAGTAAAAGAAGTTTTGTGTTAAAGAGTACAGATTAATAAAATATAACAGGTACAAACAGGTTGAAAGTGACTCTCGAATCTCCTCAAGGTCTGACTGGCTGAGAGCGGCGCCGTCTGCATCCAGGTCTAATATGACACTGAACGCTGTTATTTACTGCTCTGTGGAGAGTTCATTTCACCGAGTCGCCCTGCACAGAGATATTTATGAGGCCAGATAAAAAAGTGTGTGTCAGTGTCACTCTGTGCCACACTCTGGTCCTCATGTATCTCCAGTGTCATAACCCAAACACTGATCAGGATCAGTTCAAACAGCTCATATGCTTTGGAGAGCACCGACTCCTATCTCCTATCTCTCTATATGAGTTTGTACCCGAGGACGGCTTTGTCATTCAGTCAGTCAGCAGGTCAGTCGGTTCATCCCTTTGAGATTGAAATATCTCTCTTATTACTAAGTGGCAACTTCCAGTCAAATGAACAATAAAGCAGAATAAGTGGAAGTGCTAAAACTGCAGTTCCTTAATTGTCCACTTGAGGCTGTCTGTAAAAGCCTGAGAAACAACATACACACCCATTCAAACATCTGCTTGCGACTAATCAGAATCAAGTATTCAACACAGCTGGGTGATTAGGAAGACAGTCAGAAAACAGGAAAATATCACGACTATCACAAGAGATTATTACTGTTGAAAATTTTAAGGTTGCTAGCTTTGGGATGATAGCTAATTTGATTGACAGGTGGGCTAATTGTCATGAGTAGGCCTGTCGCGATAATCAATAAATCGCCTTATCGCTCGATAAATAAAAACGAGGTCGATAACTTTGCCAGCCTCGATAATTGACGTGCGTTTGTTTTCCTCCTCTCTCGCTACCAAACACGCTGGATGAGAGAAGAGGTCTCACTCTGCGCATTGTTCTCGGCACCTGGGGGCGTTGGCTCTATAGCGGAATGAACGGAGTTAGTGAACCCTCCTGTCAGTCATTCAGTGTCTTTGTCACGAGGGGGCTGGCTTGCACAGGCACACAGACACAGACTTTTTGGATACAGTGCTGCAAGTGAGCGTCGTGAGTGAAAAGCAAGCAAACAGAATGAACACGACAGCTTTGGTGTCTAAACCGAACGCAACAGCCCAAGTGTGGGAATATTTCGGCTTTAAACCAGTTTTGTTTTCGTCAACCACAAAACTCCACGTGTGTGTGTGCGCGCGCGTGCATGTGTGTATGTGTGTTGGAGGAGCACAGCAGGCTGATGAGAGCTGTCAGAGCGGACTGAAGCTGCTCCTGTATGTTTAGCGTTTAACTGACTGAGTTTTGCAACTCTGTTCGTCATTTTCGTCTCGTCCCATCAACGTTAACGCACTTTCGTCTCGTCACATTTTAGTCATCTCCGACATATGTTTAGCTCGTCAATGTTACGTCTTCGTCGTGGGAGAAAAGGGAAATATTTTAGTCAACGAAAACAACCAGTGTTGTTCTCGTGTGGAAATTAAAGTTTATCACTTTTGACATGGTGTACTCGCATTATTATGCCATATAATATCATTATCTATAATTTAAAAAACGGTGTCAATAATATCGTTTATCGGCGATAATTTGTAGCACAATTATCGTCCAGCAAAATTTGTTATCGTGACAGGCCTAGTCATTAGCGAGACGGCTGAAGGAACGCCTGAACTTCAACTTTTGGTTTCTTGCTAAGTTGACCAAAAGTCACAGTAGGTCAAAAGAGACTAATCCTGCGTTCCAGTAGTACTCAGAAGTCGGGATTTCGGGACTCGAAAAGTCGGACGATCCTCACCAACCCCGACTTGACGACAACTTCACAATCCAAGATGGCAGTGCATCGCCAGTAAAAAGTAACAGTAAAAGCTCTCATAATGTTTTATTTATCAGCACTTCTGTTTGTTTTTGTGAAATTAAATTAGTGGCATATGTTGTGCGTTGTTTACGACTAGTATAGCTAACAACAACTGACAACAGCTAACGACAGCAAACTATACGTGTCCATCTTGGTTTTCCGACTTGTTAACTGGAACGCCGTCAACTCAGGTGTAACGTCATTCCCAGCACCGACATATGACTTCAGTCCATGTTTTGAACAGTCTATGCCTAGTTCATAAATTACTGTGGATTTACAGCTGGAGTATTTGTCATGTTACTACAGACCACCCAAAGCAGACCACCCACTTCCAATGCTTTGTAGTCCTAGGCGACACTCTTGACACCTTGACCAGTCTGAGCCCATATGCACCTTTAAACTTTTAAGTTTGAGCTCTTCTGTTGGTTCAGACCACACAGGCCAGTCCACAGTCCCTATGTGCACCCATGTCCTTGTGTCCAGGTCACGGGTTTTCCTGCTTTCAACCACTGCAGAACAGAAATACCCCACAAAAGCTGCAGTTTTCGGAAATGCTCTGACCCCCTCTAACTGCTATATTTTAGCCCTTGTAAAAGCTGCTCACATCTTTACCCCAGCCCATTTTACCAGCTTCTAACACATCAACTTCAAGGACCAAAACGTGCTCTTACTGCCTCAAATATCCCACCGACAGGTGCAATTGTAGCAAAGAAATCAATGTTATTCACTTCAGTGGTCATAATGTTATGGCCGACCCAAGTAAAGTTCCCTCTTTTGTTTCAAATATCTGAACCTCTGAGTAATTGATTTTGATTTTTTACCACCATGGGGTCATGTGGGTGAAATTCCTTGATAAACTATTTGATGAATCATTTCCAAATTTGATATAAACTTATCAAACCAGTTCAGTAGATATGAGATTGAACTGTGGTGGTAGAGGGGGGTGAGAAACAGGCGGCATGGAGAGCGTGGCTTATTAGGAGTGAGTGATGAAGGGATTTGAAAGCAATTTGACAAAAATGATGCAACTATGTTTGGATATTGAAAGGAAAACAGCTGAGTTTGCTCACACCATACGGCCAATATAAATAGCAGGGTGGCAGTCATTTCTAAATCTAATAAGTTCAGGTTGAATCATTCCTGCTTCAGTGCTAAGCAACAACATTAAACATCATGAGAGGCAGTCAGCAGGAACAGCAACCAAAGAGTTCAGGAGGTGAGTGATCTAAACTGCTTTGATTTACAGGAAAATACTGTTGAATTTAGCTCAAAAAAAGGATGGTTTGCTGTAACGACTCAAAGTAAAATCCACTTGCTCCGTGAGTCCGGTAGCTCTTTGTGATTTTGCAACATCTAGGGGATTTTCTGTCGAAGGTAGCGAAGGTAATCTGTGCTGATTTACTGTTGTTAAATAGATCTACTGTTGTCAACTGACTGTGTTAGCTAAAGGCTGAAGTGAGGATAATGAAACTCTTGGTAAAATGTGTGTTATTGACACTAAATAAACTTGTATGGGCCTACTTCTCACAACAGAAATCCACAAAAAATTGGATCAACAAGTAAAATTGATGATGGCTTTAGAATAATTCAATGGTTTAAATTCCATCCCCTATCACGGTCTAAATTCACTTTAAAACTGTTAATTTACTATACACCCTTGGACCTTTCGTAGGCAACAAAAATAACAATTACACGGACATCTCCCATAAATGAATCATCGATCAATTATTTTCACTTTAAGCTTTTGAATATTGTTTAAAAAGTGATCACAAATACTTGTGTTTTAGCTTAATAAAAGTATCAAAGCAGATTAAAGTGCATCTAAATTACATCTAATCTGTTTAAAAGAAACCAAGCATCACCTGTTAACTTGCTTCACCTTCTTTATTTTTCAGTTTTTTGCTTTAAATGCTCAGGGAGCTGTAGAGTAAAAGAGACATCAAACAAACTGAAGAAAACAGAAACAAAACAACCACATACTGCCTCAAATATAGGGCTTTAGTTGTGTTTTAGGACTTATTACAGGAAAAATAATGCTGTTATCGTCTGCATCTATTCAGAATAACTAAAAAAGCGGCGAATGCTTTAAGATCTGAGTTTACACAACAGATAATCTGAATGAGACGATCAGCTGCTGATTTCATAATCGATCTTATATTACGCTGTAGGGAAAATTGTTTTTATTCAAAGACCACCACATGCCTCACTTTAAAATGGACTATTGTGTGACTTGTTTAGAAACCTGATTCCTGTCTTAAGTGCTCGCCCTTCACGTTAGAAAATCGCTCTCATGTGAAGTCGAATGAATTGAAGTTCATGATTCCTGTTGTTCTGCAGCCATTTAGTCTCATTGTCCAAGCAAAATTATTCCTCTCTCCAGGAGACCACTTAAAGAACACGTTTCCACCTGTGCTCATTCACAATCAGCCCTTAATATGAGCCCCCTGAGGTTTTATTGCTTCCTGTGGTCTTTACCTCTTACTCTAATGGGAACTTAAACTAACAGAAGAATTCCCTCCTGATTTAAAAACACACTTTCTCATATTTCTCATGTCTTAAACTGGAATAAGTTTGTCAAAATCAATAACATTTGGTGTGTTTTACCTCTGCCTGTTGACACTATGGCAAAAAAAAAGGGTATCTGCATGAGATTCGGCAGATAACGCACAAAAACTATCATGGCGGGCTTACTTTCTCATCTAAATTATTCCAGATGAGAGAGATATTTTAACACCAGCAACAACAGCCTGATTACTTTTTAATCCCCAAAGAACAGTGTGACACAAAACTTGATTCATTTCATTTTATAGCTCTGCAAAGTTTTGCCAGAGTATGATCCTCAAATGTTAGTCACACACAAGGCAACGAGTCCAAATTAAGATGCAAGCTCGGTTAGGATGCTGCAGTTTGTGTTTTTGACCCAGAGGAGGAAATGTGACTGATGATGCCCCTCGGTTGGAGCTTTTTCTGGTCTCATCAGCTCTTTCCATAGTCATGAATCTGATGAGGGGACCGGAATAACAGCTCGGGGACCACGCTGTGTCGGGGTTACGAAAAGCTGCAAGAAAGGGAAACTTTGTGGCAACTTGGCAGGAATCGTAGACAATGTCCAAGCAACAATTAAGTCTCCTGAGAAGGGAGCAGGAGGATGTGCTTATTCAGGGAGTCTCTGCTGCCAAATCCGGTACAGTACACAACATGAGATCCGTGGCAGACTGCTCGGTTTCTATGCCGCACACAGAATTAGCACACATCCATCTGTGCATCCTCCTCAAGCTTGGACACAGGGTTCTGCCTTTGGGTAATAATTGCGGGTTTTCACCTCCAAGTGCCAGCGGATGCAGCCTAGAGGTGTATCTCTGTCAAATTTAGTGATATTGGTGTTGGTTCAGCGGTACAGTGGGACACAGACAGAGACAATGCCAGCAAATGAGGGATGAAGGTTTGTCTGGGAGCCTCTGTGTGTGTGTGCGCCAAACAGTGGTGTGTGTGTGTGTGTGTGTGTGGGTGGACGGATGGATGGATGGGCGGCTTTCACCCAGTTGGGGAGGAAGACTTATTGCTGTGATCTGGAGACAGTCTCCAACACTGAAAAGACTGTTTCACAAACAGACTCGAGTGTTACATTTCCAAAATATGTGATTAATAATTAAGCCGTAACACGTCAGTTAATACGCCCGTTGTGGACTAATTACGAAAACTGATTTTCATTGAGAAAACAAGCAGGAAACCACAAGCTGTGAGCCTCAAGAAGCAAAATGATTTGACTCCTCAATCAAAGGCCTCGAATCAACAGACTCACGCTGACAGCCATGGAAATGAGTTGGAGTCAATCTACATATAAGATCTTTACAACAAATCACAATCAGACCCAAAATTTAATTACACACCCATTTCATGTTCTTCAGCCTGAATACCAGCTCCACCCAAAAGGAAATGAGTACGAGGATAAATCGGCATATCTGTTTTTAATGCTTCTCATGTGGCAGAGGCTGAAGAATTACCGCCTCTTCAAAGAGGAGATACATCAAACATTTTTTAATGTTATTCGTTTGTTTAACTGTTTTCATCGACTTTTAAAACTTTGCAACCTAGTATTAAAACCATGGTGTCCTTTCAAAATAAAAGCACGTTTGTCTTCTAATTGGGCAATAAGGCGCCTCAAGACATAATGAATGTGCAACACACAACAATAAAGTGTGACACTCTCATCCATATGTATCATATTACATCGCACTGTATCATATTATGTCATATCATATCCTGTTGTATCCTATTGTATCATATCATACTGTATTAAATCATTTTATATCAAATGGTATTACATCATATTGTATCATATTGTTTTGTATCATATTGCATAGTATTGTATCATATGTTATAGTATCATATCACATCATGTTTACTGTATTGTATCATACTGAATCATACTGAACTGTATCAAAATATATTTTATCTTATAGTATTGTATCATAAATTATCAGATTTTATCATATCTTTTGATATTATATCAGATCATATGGTGTTGTTTCATATCATATTGTATTATATCATATCATATCTTATTATACAGTATCATATCATATGGTATTGTATCATAGCCTATCATATTGTATCTTATCATATAGTATCAAATCATGTTATATCAAAAGGTACATAATATTTTATTATATTGTTTTGTACCGTATATTGTATCATAATTTATTGTATTGTATTGTATTGCACGATATTGTTTTATATCAAATGGCATCATTTTTTGGCATCACATTTCATCATATTGTATCATATTGTGTCAAATGATATGGCATCCTATTACAATGCATCAAACTGTACGTTATCAAATTGTATCAAATTGTATCAAATCATATCGTATCGTGATGCTATTAAGTTAAATTTCCACAAAACAATACACTGTTATTTTTAAAGAATTACTATTTCCTATGACAGATGACCCCAAAAACATTTAAAGTTTTCTTTTGTTTTTGAAGTTTAATAATATGCTGGTCGTTGGCTGTTTACTGGTATTGACAAAAGCTATTGGTATATAAAAAAAGAAATATTGATAATGCACTAAAGCCATGTTACAGTAGGGGGCGTAGTCATGGTTGCTTTCACTGGTTTCCGTTAAAAACAACAAAGGCTAGTGTCTCTTTTTGGAGTTAGCAAGTCGGGGGCTTATAAATTGAATGTTTACACTGTTCTTATTTAGCTCCATAACAGAGGATCTATAGGAGGAACATAATTTCAAAATAAAAGCACGCCAAAGGACAGTCAAAATGTCAAATTAAAAGCCCCAAAGATAATAGTTTCATAAGGCGACATTTGCTGTCATAGTAAGGATACTATTCAGGGTACTATTATTATTTTTACTATATGCCCTTAGTTCATGTGATATTCAGGCATTTTGACTTCACTTTTTTTCATCTTTAGAGTTATTCCTAGCTGCCTAGCTGCTAAAAAAGATCCAGATGGTTAAGTATGAACACATGTGACGTGGCTGAATGTGCTTCTTCATCACACTGATTGAGAACTTGCTGTGATAGTGTCATTTAATTATCCTACAAGTGTTTTTATTTGCTTATAACCCTCTAAGTGGGGGTGGTAATCTCTGTCGGCTCAGAGAGAGAACAGTCTGTCTCCTCATAAGCATATTCTAGTCTCCCAAGATCCATCACTGTCTATTGTTATTATTAGTTTTGGCATAAAAAAAAACTCATTTAGAAATCAGCGTTGGATAATTAAAAATCTAACTAAATCCATTCCCACGGGAAGAGGAGGGCAGCGGATGTCTGAGGCTGTTGCCAGAGCAGACAGAGAGATGAGTGAGCAGACTGGTTGTGTTTCATTTTCTGTAACAATAACATCGAGAAAGAAAGAAAGAAAGAAAAGCAGGTGATATCTGGATTCTGCTGCCCTGCTCTCTTTCAGCATCTATCAGTCAACTCGGGTCGAACACGTTGACGTGAGCGCCGGTGTTTTCTTATTCAAAACCACGTTCTTACTCTGCACTCATCTAAATAAAATATAAGAAGTCACCGTCTCTGTTCCCTGGACTTATTTTTACTAACTGTTCCTGATGTCTGCCGTGAACTTTGATAAAAAGGTGTTCAAGTTGGAAACGGCTGCAAAACTCTGAATCATCAGGAGCAGGTCGGACTTTTTTAAAGCATCAGGGTGTAAATGAGTGTTTTCGGATCTTTTTCTGTGACCTTTCCTTGTTATCTTTTATTATTTTGTTTTTTTTATGTCTGAAGCAAAATTTTGTCTCAGATTTTTTTTTGTTTAATCTCATTGAAACCTCACCCCTGGTTAAATAAAGATAGAAAAAAAGGTTCAGTCCATTTCTCAGTCAGTCTGTCTGATCCGTCTGATTTGCTGCCTGTTTGAACCAGCCTTTGGTGTGTTTGATGTGTGTGTATCAGCGCCCGGACAGTGAAGGGTACAGATAGGCAGATGCTTTCAATACAAAGAGCCGGAGCTTGTATAGGACACGAAATGTCATGTGACTGCGGACTTTCTGAAAGTTTAAAAAAGTGATCCATGCAGCTTAACTTTGAAAGTTCGGCAGATTCGGTAAGTGATTGAAAAAAAGACGAGAGGGGAGAATCATAAAGAAATTAGTAATTCATGTCCTGCAAAGTTGCACATGCTGATACACAACCTTACCATGAGGTGTGTGCATATGTGGGCATCAGGTTTCAATAACCATGTTTACATGTGCAAAATTCTTTATATTTTATCCTTTATTAAAAATTTGAGGGATCAGATAATCTGAATCCACTGTTTATATGGACGCAAAATCAAATTATCAGATCAAGACATGAGTATAAATGTTGTCACTAGATGGCCTCAAAGGTTGCACTGTGCGTGCAGGTGTGACATCATTACGCTGTTTGTATGGCTTGTTATGTTATTGGAGGAGCAGATATGGCAACTGCAGTTGTGTTTTATGCCAGAGTGTTAATAATGAAACTTCCTGAACTGACCTCAATAAATACGCCAAAGACTAAAGATTGAAGATCCAGTCAGATAAGAGAGTCACGATCGGAATAAGGATGCATTTCGGAATAACGATCGGCATAAACCACCCCTCCCGACTGAAATACAATTTCTTTCAGATTGAGCCAAATTGGATCAGAATCTTCCGATCGACATGTTTACATGACGCATTTTTATTCCGATCGGGCCTTAATTCCGATTATTTTTAAATAAGCATATGAGTGAACCTGCATGGGTGCATGTGCAGGTGTTAGTGGGGATGCGGATGTAGACGCTGCATGCATTAGTGCAGAAATGCGTTTGGATATTTGTGTCAATGGAAACTAGAACTAGATCTAAAGAAGCTGCCAAAATGAACACTGCTAGCAGGATGGTGAAAACAGATTTAAGACGCTGTCCTATGTTAGAGACGTGACTCCACCCCATCCAGTCTGTAACAAAGAGGGAAAGACAGGTGAGGAGATGGAGGACGGTTCAAAAGTTGTAGCGGCTGAAGTAGACGAAGTTAATGTGGGAGGGGGTGAGCAGTTTGTGGAGTAGTTATCGTCCATTTATCGTTATCGGGGTGAACTGATCAATATATCTTGATATATACACGGTTGCATAGAAACTTCACATTGTGGATCTTGTTAACAAACGTCTTTAAATACACATTTTGCAGTAATCACATCACATTTCACTCAAGTACAAATATTCATCAGAGTATTTAAGTATTGAAAAAATAACAGGTTGCCTCTTAGACTTATTTCTTACAGCTTTAAACCAAGGCTGTAAATACCTGGGAGGCTTGGATGTCCTTCAAGAGAGCTGTTAGAAGTTTTAAAAACCACCTCATGCCTCTGTGTTTGTCCACAGTGAAGATTTTTGGCACAAGCAGAAACAAACAGAAAGCCCCGAAGCTTCATAAAGTTTCACAAAGGGTCCTGATGGTGTACTTCGCTCCGACATTAGACCCTCCGTCCATCGCCCTCAGTTTCCCCTTAAAATGAAAGAGCGATCATATTTATTTACACATATTTGCTTTTGCAGCTTGTCGTAAACTATATAACAGATCTTAGAAAAGGGTTTGGCACAGGTACAGAGGGTTCGAACTGATGTACGTACATGAATCGTGTATTTCTGTATCTGTACATTCATCTCAACTCTGACACTGCGGATTTACTGTACCTCCTCTGAGCTGCTCTTATCCTCTAATCTGCCTTTGTTGGCCCTTTATGATAAACTCTTCACAAATATTTATAGTTGCATTGTGAAGTAACTGCACTGCAGAGCTTTTCCCGTCCAAGCAGGTGCTGTATGTCTGTGTTTCATTTTGAGTGAAATCCGTTATGGCCCTCTGCTTCAGAAGAAAAGAATCCGGCCCAAACTGATCCTCGGAGACGGCGGAGTTGTTGCAACCGCACACTTTGTTTCTAAATATCATTCAGGTTTGTCAGCCTGTCCAAACATTAATCCTCTGGAGGAACAGGCTCATGAAAAATGTAAGTTGTTTCCCTGTCTGGGCCTATTAAATCTCCTATTAAGCTCTCAAAGACAGTCGATACTCAGCGTCTACACCTTTTGATTCACTTTAGAGCTCAAGTTGCACATTTCACGTCTTTCAGTCATTGGGTTTTGTTGCTCAGCACAGACAGCAACACTAAGCTCTCTGACACACAGCTTTCAGGTTTATAAATATCCCACAGGACTCTGGTGTGGTCTGTAATTTACAAACTATCACCAGCCGCTGACATGAAACCTTTAATTTGACGTTTTGATTGTCCTTTTGAAATATGAGCCAGATGAAGAGGAGAGAGGGAACCATGTAGGAATATCATGTCACTTATCAGCAGAGTTTCCAGGAAAGCCTTTTTTTTTGTTTAGTTTGTTTGTGTTTCATCTTCCTCCAGTATTGATTATTTCTCTGAACGTTAAATATTTATTATAGATTCAAAGGTAACATCTGAAATGAGCTCATTACCACAGAAAAAAAGATCAAATACTCTCAACTACCACAGATCCACACCTGAATTAAAGCTCCTATGAGTGACTCATTATGAAACCAACAGTAACGCCTCATTATAACCCACAAAAAAACCCCATCAATGTTAGAGTTCAAGCACATGACAAGATCAGCAAAGGTGCAAGAGGTACAGCTTCGTCCACAGGGGGCGCTAGAGTAGGTTTTCTTTGCCTATTTGGCTTTTAGTCACACTCAAAAAAAAAAAAAAATTCTAGGTCTCTAATGTTTTTTTTTTACACTGTTTTTTTTTTTTTTGCATATTTGTGGAAGTTAAAATGTTATTAATTCGACTTACCCCAGTCGATTATAGAGCCTATATCCCTCATATGCTTGTATACAAACTTCTACTATTAGCTGTTAGCACTTGCTCAAGAAATACACATGCACAATATCTTGTTTTGCAAAAGCATCCATGGATTTCAGAAACACTTCGGCTGTGGAAAACGATAACTGGAACACTTACTCGACATCATACATAAGGAATCGACTGTTAGCTAGCAGCTGCCTGCAAGTTGCAGCTAAAGTTAGCCTAGTTTACCTTCAATACGAAGCTAACTAACGCTATTAATGCAGGTTGTTAAGACAGTCCTTCTCTTTTTTTCTCTCTAATCACCCTAATTTTTATTCAACTGATGTTATAAAACAGCGCCATGGTTAGCGTAAGTAGCAGTTTGTGGACTGCAGCTGCTATCCCTCAACTTACATTCATTCTTGTTTTTGGCCTTTAGTCACACACAAAAAAATAAGTTCTGGGTCTCTGGGTTTAATTTGCGTATTTGTGGGAGTTAAAATCTGAAGTCTAGGAAAAACATCGTAGGAGCCATTTTTCTCTGTGATTTGTGTATATTACCTAATTGGGCCAGCAGGTGTCCTCAGAGTCCTGTCAGGTGTTGCTAGACGGAGGAACACACAGTTTTTGGACCACTAGGGGCTACGTCACTGTGGATGTTGTTTTTGGTGATACAGTCATGACTGCAAACGGAATGGAAAACAAGTCAAATGTTGAGCGATAAAGACCGCGGCAAAGGAAAAGGCAACACGGAGTCATATTTCACAACTCACAATAATCAAGTGCGGTCGCCAGCGCGTCAATTACTTTTAGCCCTTACTAGGCAGGCCCTCAGTGGCTTTAAGTTTTAGGCTTAGCTGCTACAAACATTGTTAAACCAATTTACCCCCGGCAATGGTTTCTATATCCCATATCCCCTTTTAGCTTGGTATACAAATTCTACTGTTGGCTGTTATCGCTTGCTCAAGAACACACGTAAAACACCTTCTTCAGTGGTTTACTGATGTTTTTTTATTCAGCCTAGCCTGCCCACTTCTACATGAATAAATAATGTGTGCCACCAGTGTCGGGCGTGTGCAGGACGAGGAGCCTTGAAGACGTATCAAACTTGCACTGAGAGATCTGGTGTTACAGTGTCTAATACAAACAGCAGCACAGTTAATGAATATATAATCTATGTTGATATGACAGCTCGCATGTATGGAGTTACGTAACAGATGGTGATGAACGCTCGATAACTGGGAGACGGCGGCGTATCCTCGCAGACGTTTCCTGGGGGAGAAATCGAAGACCAGAACATGGGTCTATTTTCCCCCGCTGTATGCACAAATCTCATCACCCACAGACTGAGACATTATCCTTCAATAGTGTGACTCGTGCCAGATATCTTCACCGCAGCACAACTTAATCCGGGACTCATTGAAGGTGCCTGATAAAACACAGTCTTCCAGCTCCCTTGTCAAATAACTTCACTTGGTCTTTAGTTAATATAGAGATCCAATCAATCAAAGCTGGATTTTAATGGATTCTGCCGCTCCTTTCTGATGGGGATTAATTTTCTCCAATACCTCTGGAAACTCGCAGATATGAGGAAATTATGCTTTTTATCATTAGAAATTAATGATTTTGCAAAATATATTGGATCATGACTTACGCTTGTCAAATTTTGTTAGGAAGAGTATAAAGTGACGGTGGAGGTGTATCCATATATATATTTATAAATCTTTTCTTGTGTGGTTTAATTTCGTACCTGCCACAGGTCATAGAGGTGTGTTTGACAATATGAAGTGAACACACTCCCGTCTCAGTTTGTTTTCATCCACTAAGTCAACAAGTAGAGCCAATATGTCAGTTCACAGACGGAGTAAACGTGGGTGTTTATTGATGGATCAGCGAACGAGCTAACAGCCTCGTCTGCTTCTATTTCAATCTGCTTCAAACCTTTCTGATAAATCGTGACGCAGAGCTGTCACAGCGTCAGACTTTGGGATATTATCAGAGTATTTATGAGGAGCTTGAAAATAAACTAACTTCGCTGGTGTTTTAGGTGACAGAGGGGGAATTATTTTAGATGTCCGACGTCACGCCTGAATCAATTTTGTCCCGTCAGTGAAAACAAAGCAGTTATTCATCAGAGGTTTTGTTCACAGTGATGTATTTTAGCTCATCACTGTCTCGTCTTAGTCGTGAAAAAAAGGGTTTCTGATGAATATTTATCCTCATAATTTTAATTTTCTAAGTTAATACTGTGCAGTGGCGCTCTGAGAGGTGATGACTGTGAAAACTGATGCTTAAGAGTAAACGGTCAAGTTTCAACAATTAAACTTTCAGACTGTTACGATCTACTTCAAGTAACATTTCAGAATAAAAGTAGTTTACAGATTATATAGTCTCTAGAGTTATTCTGTATCACATGTCTTAAAGGTGGGGTAGTCAGGATCTGAGGAAGTTCCAGTTTTTGGGAGAAATCTTGAATGTAAACTCGACCCCTCCCAACCAGTTTTCCCCTCAGCTCCTCCCCTCAAGCCCCGCCCACAAACAGACGCTCCTGCTCGCTCGTATCGTTCCAATTAAATTCAGATATAATGCAGATAAATACTTCAGATCATTACAAATGGGGCCCAGTCAAGGTGAAAGTCAAAAGCATTGGTGTTACTGTAGATGCCAACAGACTACCAGCAAACACAATGTTTGCAGGACTTCTACAACTAGGATAAAGTGACATAGTCCAGGACCCGAGGGAGACAGTTTAGCGATGGCGCTACAACACGCCACGCTTGACAAGAAACACTTCTGTTACAGACACTTGTCTTACTTTGTTAAAGCGGTTTACCTGTCCAGCAGAAAGGTTACAGGGTCACCAAGATCCCCAAGCGTCCCCCATCGTTTATGTTGACCCGGCTTTTTAGCTCTTGTCCGGTCTACCTCCGTTTTAAGCGCCCGTTATTCCTCCAGAGTCTCCGGTATTTACTTTGTTTTCTTGCTTGTGTCGGCAGTCGTGGCCAAAGGAGGATTCAGACAATTTTCCGAACTTTCTGGTTGGTTTCTGCTGTACGATATTGTAGCACGCTAACTTTGTTTGGGCTCCTGAACGACACCGGGGAGCTGCGTCTGCCTCACAACCAATCAGGATAGGGGAGGTGGGGAACGGCTTTGTTTACAGTCAGAATAAGCGGACCACTCAAAAAATTTAAAATGTTGACTACACAGACATAACAAAACACAGCGATATCGTTGTATTACCAAATGTGATCAATAACTAATAGCTACTGACTGATATTAAAACCTTTTTTGTATAAACACCACAAAACGATGCTTCTTTAACAGAATCCTGCCTACCCCACCTTTAATCTGCTTGAATTTTATCCTAATTGTATCATCCAGTAATTTTAAGATGTTAAACTGAGTTTAACGCTCTTTTTTAATTGTTTTTAATCTTGTTTTTGCTGCTGAGTGTAAATTTATTGGGTTTAATTATGTTTTTATGATTCCTTATCCATTTTAAAGCTAATACCTCTCTTGAATGCTTTATCTTTCACTCATAGTTTATCACTCTAGCACTGATTTTATTGGTCTCTGGTCCTTCAGGTCTCAGTTCAGAAGATCTAGTTCTGGTGTTACCTGGACTCTTACAGTAAGCTGTTTCAGTCTACTTTTGGTTTTAGTCGAGTTGTAGTTCACACAAGTCATTAAATTTAGTCTCTAAGTTAAAACCTTTTTGTCTTCAAACTAATTCAATTAATCATAAATCGGTATCGAGGTTATACGAGTGTTTCACTTCTATAATATCTGGATTTATTACCTTATAATTCAGTTCAGACTCTCTCCTCACTTTATAAAAATCAGAAATATGCACAGAGGTAGAGAGGGTTATAGCGCACTTGTTGCAGACAGTTTGGTCAGCAAACTTCCCTCGGGAATAAATCCTGTTTCCTTTTTTTTTTTTTACACTATAAAAAAAAAAAAACTCTGATTGAGCAACTTTTTTATGAGCGCTACATTACATTCAGGCATGCTTCGCTGCAACCTTTAAACCCCTCGATGCAGATTTGAGTCACTTTACTGCCGGTGATCATGATTACTCCCATCTCTGCATCTCTTGGACAAAGCTGCTGCTCGCTCCTGTCTTCCTGAGAGATGGGATTTGGGTAACTGTCTGTTTATTTATGAAGCACTCAGTGGGACGCCTCCTTCAATCATTCTGGTCCTCTGGGGCACATTACACCTGGTCTAATGCCTGGCTCCTGTTTCAGGATTCTGGACTTCATTCTGAGCTTGGAAGATCTACTTTTGGGTTTTTGTTTTTTTTGCACCATCTGTTCAGACTTGAAAATGAAAGCTCGAGTTTCTTGTGCTCATTTTTGGTTCTTGGCTGTTAACTAAGGATCATGTCTGTTTAACTGATTTGGTTCTAACTAAGTTTATTAATTGTGTGTCTTCTTAACAAACCATATCATATGTTTAATTTCCATATATTCATTTTCATATATTATCTTGCATTACTTGCTTTGAACTGTTTCTTTAATGTTTGACTTCATCTTGAATCATTTGCAAATCTAAACAAAGAATAAGGAATATAAATAATTCAAGTTAAAGTTTATTTTCTTTTGATATAACCTTTTTTTTTTTTTTTTTAACCCTGTATAGGAACTTTAGTTTCCTGGAGGGGTGGAAGTGGGTGGTTTTTAATCCAGTCGCCCCCTCCTGGCTGTTACTGAGAATACATGTTGGAGGCACTGAGGAAATGGTTGAATTTCTAAGGTACAAGAACTTACACTAACTTGTTTTTTTAGGGACTCTGGTTTATTAGTAAATATAATTATCTATTAAAATAAGACAGAGACTGTTTTTCACTGTTTGTTACATTTGTTATGGACAGATGGTGTTTGCTATGGGAGAGGATGAGGGTCAAATTATTGTCATAGTACAATAAAAACTGGATATTTAGAAAAGGATAGTTGCAAAAAAATAAATAAATAAAAAAAAATAATAAATAAAATAAAAGGTAAATATTTAAAAGGAATAAGTCCAAAAGTGGTAAATAAAAAAATAAAAATAAATTTGTAAATAATATAATATTTTTGCTTTAATTTAATCAAATAAGTAACTTAATGAAAACAATTTTAAACTTACTAGAATATAAATTGTTCATTCACAACTTTATTTAAAGTTGAAAGTTTACCAAATAAAATGTGTTCATTCACAAGGATTAAAGTTGCTTATTTACAAGAATGAAGTTTAAATTCACCCCTCCAAAAAAGTTGAAAAGTTACTAAAATACGTTTTAAATAAGCTGCAAAATTTGAAAGGATATAGTTTTAAACTGACTTCGATTTACCAGAGTGAGCAGATTTCTTAAAAGATTAAAGTTGGTCTCTTATTTAGATCAATTCATCAGAAATATAATAAGGATATCAGAATGTGGATCATTTTGGGAAGTTAAACTCAAAAACTACAGCGACTAAAATCATTTGCAGAAGAGTTAACCGCCTGCTTATCAGTCTGTGCTTCTTCAGAACAGGTTCATATTTCAGAGATAGTTTTCAGTTCTTATAAAATATTTTATTAAAGTTTTCACAAGATACTGAAAATTCCCCGTATTGGTTTAAGAGGCTGGCTGAGAAACTTCACAAGCAGGTCCCTGAAGAGCCACTTTGGCGCGAGTGCTGACTATTGATTTAGAGGTTTTTCTGGAAAAAAACATGAGCCATAAAATTCAATATAGAGACATAACTCCTGATACTACTTCAAAATCATTGAAAACCTCTCACTATGCCTTTAAATGAACGGTATTGACACCTGCAGTAGTCAGTAATCATTTTAGTGTGATTGAAATCTATGCCTCTCGCTCTATTATCCTAAAATATTGCTGAATCGTTGTAACAGCACCATAAACGGGTCGCTCTATAACCATCTCACTCCGCTATCCTGTATTTTGAAATGCAGTTATTGTAGGCGACTCAGCATCGAGCCAGAAACAATAAAAAAATTGATTGTCCCATATTTCTCCTAATTACAACAGCTGTGATCAATTTCTGGCTTGTTGTTGTGTCCAATTACTTCCTTGACCAAATCCCCACAGTGCTCTTGCATCAGAGCTGCAGCTCAGCAAACGAGCCGCAGCCTAATGTTGTGAAACATTTATCCGGCATGTAGAGCTTCACCGTGTTAGAGATGTATTCAATACCGACTCATTAGCAACAGCCAATCCCGCATTTATCCTCGTTATTTGACTCCCAATTTGAATGATAATGAGGCTAATTGTGCTTCAGTACATGCTCCCGCGTTGTAAAGTAAGAGGCGGTTTCTAAAGGCGCTCTATCAGCATGCAGGCCTCTCCCCTGTTTCTCATACTTCACCTGTGAGTGCCTCGGAGCGTGCACTGTGGTCTAATACTCTTCTCTTACAGAAAAACATATTTATCATTCTTGAAACCATGCAGCGAATAATTGACCAATTATTCAGTAAAAGGAAGTGCAGATTCTGCATAATGTCATCCTCCGAAAATGAAGCGAAATTGACGGTGCAGAAAAAGCTATCTGTTTGTAGGAGTGCGTGGCAGGCCTCCGTAAGTTGTGATTTAATATCTAAAGTAATTACCCAGGTGTTGTCTTCTGCAGTTAAGTTCAACAGCACGGCCAAAAAGTTCCCTTCCCGTGGTGCAACAAGGAGGATGAAAAGTGATTATGCGTGGCAGTGGTGAGCGGCGCACGATGATGTATGATCCAAACAAATCTACCTCTGGCTCTCAGACAGCAGCACATGGGCGACTGCTATCCTGATGCGATTAATCTCCATAATCTCCGCGGTTTCAATAAGGCTGCTAATATAGAAAAAGAGATAGACCCGTTCGCACACAGGTGCTGTTTGTAATGTTGATGACTGGCTTTGTTATTACTTTGAAAGTGTCACCAAAGTTTGCGAGAAGATGAATTTATTATTTTTCCGAAAGGTAAGCTTTACGGCTTCCATTTTGATCCGAGCCAGATTAATTAAACATCGCAAGAAAATACCTGATGGTGAGAACGCTTGCACGCAGGAATGCTCGGGATAATCCCTGCACAAACACACAAACACACACACACTCGGTTTGCCCCTAAAAGCGTTGGACAAAAACATGTTTTCCAACTGAATCTCTCGGGTTCATCCTGTGATGAGAGTCCAGCCTCTTTCATCGATCCCTGTGTTATTTCAAATTGGGAAAACCTCCAGTCCAATAATGACAGGCGGATGATAAAAAACCCTTTTAAAATTTCTTGTGCATACCTGTCCTCCAAGAAACAAAAAAAACAGCACAATGGACTCCAACCCTGTGAAGTTTTCCCTCTAGACTCGGTTTTAACGCTCATTGAGTCAGTCATTATGCTAATAAACCCAATTAACTCACAGCTGTTGCATGCGAGCATCCGTGGAAAAATTAAATTTCACACTAAGTTCCCCTCACGTGAAAGTTTTATTGTTTAAAAAACCTGAACTGAATTTGATTTGATGCACTTTTTTTTGGCACGGATCACCGAAAAAAACAACAGCAAGGTGAAGACGACACATGGGACGCAATTATCAAAAGGACACATCTTTGTTATCACTAGTGGGTCCATTTAGAGTTAGAAGTCACATATTTAAATAAACTTAATCAGCTCTAATGAAGCGTAGAGTGAAAACATTATTATCGGAGTCAAGTTTTATAAAGCCAAAGCTAAAGGGATGACTTAAAGACAGGTATGTTAATCCTCTGGGAACCAGACAAATCCTGTTTTTTTAAGAATCTGGGGGAAATATGTCCCCCTCATGATCATACAGACCCTACCCTGGATCTGATTCGGGGTAAACCGATCACATGACACCTGGAGAGTTTTTGTAAACAACCAATATGGCCGCCAATGATGATGATAGATGACCTGAATCAGCTACTCAAACTGACTAAACTATAGACTAATGTTGTGTTCCAGTTGAATTTGTGACTCGAAGCTTGGAAATCCCAACTTCTGAGTACAACTGGAACACAACATAAACATATGTATAGTAGACCCAATCTCTGTGACTCCACCTGTTGGTTTTTAGTCTAACGATGGGGGTCACCAAATTAGCAATACAGACCTAACCAAAGTTTCAATCAAATGGAGCTCAGGCTGCGAATAAGCAAACGCCAACTCCCAGTTTGTACAAAAATAGCCTCCACGGAAACACTAACAACTGTACTGTAAGTGCTGAAATAAGAGTTAACTCAGCTTTACCGTTGATCATGCAGATTTATACGAGTCTCATCCTTTACGTTATCTTCAAAAATATGCTGCACACTCAAAATCCCTTTCTGAACCAGGCTGTAAATGTGCAGTCATGAGCTAGAAACCAACGTGCCTGAATCTGCCTCAATGTAGAGGCGGAAAAACACCACAACAAATATGGCGAGCTCTCCAGAAGAACCTGCTCCTTAATTTTACACATGGGTAATAACGAACATGAACAAGTCAGGAAAAGGAAGTCGAGGCCATACTCTGTTATTTACAGACCCAATATAAATCTCATAAACATGTGGTGAGTAAAAGTAAGTAAGGAAACACTTCACTGAGAAATATCTTCTGCCTAATTTATCCCGACACCAAAGGTTCCTGCTTGTATCGTATAAATGAATGGAGAACTAGTCGAACAGCCTCCTGCACACTTTATCATCCAAGTTGCACGAGAGGAAATTTTGCTCTTTATCTGCTCGGGTCACCTGTTGGAAATCAAAACTCATCGGAGAGTTTCCTTGTTAATTTGTACACAGACGACGGTGTTGCAGTGCCAAGCTGGTTCTGCAGGGACTGAGTCGAAACTCTGACTTGTTAGGAGTTGAGAAAGTCTGTTCGCTCACAATCCCCGTACAACCTGACAGAGCTGGAGCCGTTTCATTAGAGAGAATGGGGATAAATGCCGTGCCAAGATTCGCTGTACTCGCCGCCAAAGATGCGTTTATTAAATCACGACTCTGTGCAAAGACGTATGTCATATTTTGAATCCCAAACCAATTCAGATCACTTTGTGGAAATTTGTTTCCACTTTCACAAAAAGGGTTTTATTCTGTTGATTTGCCAAAACAAATCTGCTCTGATTGAACGTCTTGAGACAGTAAAATAAAACAAAAAAAGGTGAAATCTTTTTATGGACGCTGAAGGTGCAGCATTTCTTTCTGCTCGGGGAGCTTTTTCATCCAACAAACTCACAAAATGGCAACTGACTCATCAGCAGAGCATGTGTATGAGAGGAATAACAATCAAGCTGTCATTACCTTGAGGCCAGTTGTACTGGTAATTGTGAGAGGATGACAACAGGTTGGCTGGCATTAGGGCTCATCTTCCTCTGGCTAGTTTGGCACCTGCCTGCTGGCCACCCGCCTAATTTTTTTCTGACAGCCTCAGCAGGAATGATTGATGCCCGGAGGCCTCGGAGGGTACGTGTGTGCATGTGTGCGTGTCATCCCCACACCGCCCTGTCTGTACACGAGTGTTCCTCTTGAAACTCATTTAGGACACACCTGTCACCGCGCACACACGAGCTCCTCTTTATAGGCTTACTCTGGACACACTCTTTGGAGATAAGCGGGTCCTGTCTGGCGCTGATAATATTTTAGAAACTTGAACAACTTCTAGGGGATTTTCGAGCCGATGTGGGTTAAAAAGATCTGAGTTGTTTGGCTGATGCTGCACAATGCTTGCGGAGGACAATCGGTCTATTAGGGAAACGCTCTTCTGACTTTGTCACCTCCAAGAAGCTGCTTGTTAACACTGTTTTAGACAAACTGCGCAATTATTGGAGGTTGTTTGTTGGGAAATACTAATTCCCTCAAGCCCCTCGCCTTCTATATACTCTCACACGTATCATAAGACCACCACTCAAGCCTTTCTCTATTGTTCGGTGTCGATAATCTCCATCTTGCCTTGTGTTCGATGACCTCAATGCAGCGCGGTATACTGAACCCTTTATCCTCTTCTTATGCATCGCACATACACACACACACACGCACACACGCACAGGGTTAGCTCCAAAGAATTTTAAACCTCCCAATGTCCTGATACTATTGCATTTTTCATTGGTATTTTAAGCAAAGAGTTGTGAGGTCTTAGAAGTCAGCTGGCATTAATTCCTCTGAGGCAGAGGGATTCAACTTCTGCCTGGAAAGAGGCTTAAAAAGAAAGTTCTCCTGCTTCCGAATGACTAAATTGCTCCTTTCTCACATAGATTTTTATATTCCTCAGCGGACGAGGGGAAAAATAGATCTCCATCCTGAATGGAGTTCACTCTATTTGGCATCAAATACTTTCAAGAAATTAAATTCCCTGATAGTTTTCACGCTTGCATACAAAGATCTTAAATTTAATTTCAATTGCCGGGGAGGCGGACCAGTTTCCTCGTTGTTTTCCACCGTTGTGGGCGATGAACCGTCAGAGGTTCGGGTGTATACATAAAACATCAAGGAAAGGAAAAAAAACACAGGAAAACTCAGATCGTTAATACTGCATTGTGGAAAAACACGAAATTTAATATTTTTTTCTCCTACTATGAGATCAAGACAGAGATATGAAGGACTGAATCTCACACAACAGGCAGATTTTTGCAGTAAATAAGACAAGAAGCTTAAATTAATGGGAATACTCTTCATGTGCTGTACAGTCCAGGTTGTGTCCGTCACGGTCCTCGTCCCATGTCGCCAAAAACACACACTTTGTCACACTTGATTTGAGTCTCATTCAGATCTACAAAGATTTGTATTCAAACTCAGCACGATTAAAGGTTCAAGGAAGGATTTTAGGGTCTAAGGTACAAAAAAAACGCATTTTTGGACGTATAACAAGATGAGCAGCTTTAGACAGTGATGTACAATAACTGTGCGATAACGGTAAATTTGTGAAAAACTAAGGAAAAAGAAAAAACGCTTTTGGACTAAACTGTACCTTTAACTAGAGCGCTGTAATTGATGCTGACTAGCTACCTGGTTACTGATAACGATGTCCCAGTACGACTCTTTTACTTCCGATATCATTCCGATATTGTAGCTTTCAGTATTGGCGATATTAATCCGATATTAGCGCAAACTTGTGCATAGCAAGTTTTGTACTCAGCTGCAATGTCTTTTTCGGACTTTAACGAAAAATACTGCCACATGGCCGACATCACTCCTACTCCTTTCTACTTGGTAAGTACATTAGTACACACTGTTGTTGTGATTACATGAGCTCTGAATGCTGGATCCGGGCACTGCTAGATAGAGGTGCTAGTCGATATAATCCGATGTTTGTGTTTTGGCTGATATCGGACCAGATCAGGACATCCCTAGTTACTGAATCGTCTTCTGCTGCTTCCTCCTCTTCTTCTTCCTAATTTACGATGCACAGTAACAAACATAAAAAGGTATGACTGCCCCCAACCATGTTACAACCTATTTTTTTAACACGAAATCAATTTTTTATATTTTTAAAACAACATTTTTAGTCATAACTGGTTGTATTATGACAGCTGTAATGCAAAGTTCACTTTTGGTCTCAAACCTCAGCCTTCTAGGTAACATTTAGACGCGTTCGCCCCCAAACTTCAACCTAACTGCGTCTTCACCATTTTTTTTTTTTATGTCAACTTAAATTGCTCATAATTTGGATTGGAATGTTTAACGTTCGTGCATTATGGGACACAAAGCGCTGTGACAAAGTGTTGTTTGTTTTTTTTCATAGGTGGAAGAATCAGTATGTCATCGTCCATTTAGCGTTAAATGAACTTCTCCATCTGCATCACATTTATTCTGGCCAGTTTGGAGAACATGCGGTTGGTGTGCGTGTTTCTGTGTGACGAAGTTTGAATGAAACCAAACTTCTGATAGAGGGAAACGGAGGCGGCCTGCGGCGAGCTGACATCCGCGATGAGACGTGAGAAGCCTCTTTCTTTGCAGAAATCCAGGGCCTGCCCCATCAGACGGGCACCCAGGTTTTTACGCCGCCACGGATAAAACACCACCAAGTGGGACAGCTCGCCGTAACTCCCGTCTCCAGCTTCTCGGCCGAACTCCGCCCCTGCGAAAACGCTCCCGTTGCAGTCGTCAAACCTTTCAGCGTCTTCCGCCGGTCTTTTCCCCGTCACCGCCACCATCCCCACCACCTTGGATTTGCCCTTATCGTCAGCCTCCGCCACCCACAAACCGTTATCAGGGTTTTCCAGGTAGTGCGCTTGAATGTCAGCCATGTCTAAGCGCAGCCTCCTCAACACGTAGCCTTCGTAGATCTCGTGGCAGCTGTAGTAAATGAGGCCGGCCCACGCGCTGCCAAAGAGGAGAGCCTGGAAGTAAGAGCTGCCCCCGAGTACGTAACCAGCCATGCAGATGCTCAGGGCGATGCCAATGTGGTCCGGGTGGCTCATGGCCCTGAAGAAAGCCGGGTAGACATGTTCGAGTATCCCATCCCGGAAGAGCGAGCGGATCACGGGTTCATCTGAGAGGCTAAACTTCCTGATGGAGAACTCAGCTGTGTGTTCGGGTGGAGAAGGAGGGAGAGAAAGGGGGCTCAGTGAGACTAATCTCTCTGTTTTGCAATGAGAAATTCCTCCCGGTTTCACAACAAGGCTCAGTACGCTCACGTAACATGCTGCTGGAGAGGAAAAATTCTCAATCAATGCCTCTTTTTATTTGTGAATTAACTCTACTTGGTGTAAAATAAAACCTGCAACTTCGGCATGACAACAAGACCTGATAACAGTGATGATTATGACATAGTTTCTCTTCTACACTTCATAAATACGTGCCATACAGAGTATAAATCAATAAACTGGTGTTAAAGTGCCAACAATGACAATGAAAGCGAGGTGAGAAAGCCATAAACAAACAAACAAACGCTTATATTTACAGAGTAAAGCCGTACAATAATTCACACCCCTAGCTGTCTTTTAAGTGCTGCTGTTCATAATCAGCAGCATGAAATAAACATCTAATAATTAAAACAATCAGAACGTCAAACTTACTGCTGTTTTTCTGGGCCATGCCGACTCCTTCGCCCTGTGTTGCCGCTCAATCTGAAGGACTTAGCCCTGCTGCCTGCCTGCACTTAAGCCTCAGATTGTGGTAATCAGCCATTCACAAAAGGGATTGAAATTAGTCTGAGCATGCTCACCTAGGAGAACATGCAAACACACACACACACACACAAAAAAACCCTTAGACCTTAAAGGACTTTAGGGTACAATGTTGAAAATACGAAAACTTTCACCGGATGTTTCGACTACATCGTGCTGAAGAGTTAAATTAATACCAGTGTTGATGTGATTATGAAACTTTTTTTTTTAAACTTAATTAGCCGAGTCAACAGAGGAAAGAACTCCATCATTGGATTTCTCAAGGAGGATGAGCACAGATCGTGAATATATTAAACCTCCAATACTGAGCTGAATGTGAATTCCAGCTCTTCGTAGATGTTTTCGAGGAATAAAATGTTCTCGATTTTTGGTGCTTTATCTTTTTTGACGATGATCTCTGAGGAAACTGTTCAGGATCTCTTCACTGTTTCCTTCTCCGGGACTATAAAGTGAGAGAAAAATGAATGTTTTCTCCAGCCCCCCCTGACATAAAAGTCTTCTATGGGAGCGGTGTCTAGTGCAATAACCCGGTGTCCCTCTGACATGATTGAATTTCCGTGGCAGGAAACGCCCTTTACACCTGTTTAAATCAATAGAGCTGCCTCATGAATCTGTGAGCGCGAGGAGGTCAAGAAATCCTCTCTCTCTCTTTTTCTCTCTCTTTAAAATCCCACACCGAGCACTTGAAATCTGAATTTTGCAGCCTCTGGGCCTTTCATAAGCCCTCTAGTTGTGTTCGAGGTGTTGAAATTTTCATCCGGTTCAGATCTAAGAAGACAAAAATCTTCTTTTTTTATCCAGCCGTGTAAATACAATGATCCCAGTCCTTTGACTCTCATCTCTATATAAGCCACTTTTACTGTACAGTCAAGGTTCTCTGCAGAGATCTGGCCCAATGACACTTCTTTAACACAACTATTCACCTAAAATATAATATAATTCAACTGTTTTATCTTGTCACTTAATGCAACACAGATCCGAGTATAAACGCCACATATTCACATAAAAGCTTCATCAGCACAAGGTTGGACACAGCGTCAAATTGCACATCTTGTTCCCTTTGTTCACATCACAGTTATGTATTTCTGCACGTCAGTGAATATGAGACACTGTGAATGAGCCGATAAGTCAATTAAACTGTTGTTTTCTCCAGAAAGGTGCAAAAAAAGAAGGAAGTAAACTCAGTACAGCAGTGGATGGAAAAAGTGGGGTTCAACAGTTGTGGCATCGTCATTTTGGCGTCCTTGCAAACAGCTACCTTATGCTAGCCTGAAAGTAGAGTCAGCGGAGCCTCTGATTGGCTAATCTCGTACCCCAAATATTTGCCCCCTGAACGGTGGGGTGCCATCAGAGGGTTGACCCAGTCAGACTGGAACTGTTTTCTTAACCAGACTGTAAACATGTTTATTTTGGCTCTAATTAGTGTGTATGTGGTTTATAGTTTTTCTGCAGCCAGCCTCTAGTGGGCACTTGGGGAACTGCAGTTTTTATCGCTTACACATTGCCTTAATTTCTCCTGATATTCTATAGTTACAAGTTAAAAAGGGGCAGGACTAGATAAGCTCTTTTTTGATACTGTTGTTCTTAAAGTTTGAGGTAAATAAAGAAGAAAGAAAGAAAGAATAGTTGTCGATTAGCTTGAGTTCAAGTCTTTTGGAAATACATGTGCCTCAAAGTAGAAGGTTTTGCTCTATGAAGTAATAATCATCATATTAATCATTTTGCACTGCAGACCTGGTAGTTCTTCTGCCTTGGCGTCACGCTGTGTATTGCTATCGAGCGTGGTTAAAGTTGGTATAACTAGAGAAGCAAGCGGTCGGCAACATTCATCCCTCGAGGGGGTGTCAAACTTGGTGTGTTTGACCCTAAATTAATTTTACACAGGAATATCCCTTTAAAACTGTCATATTCACTTTAAGCCTCTCTGTACCACCCCCGTGATAAAGCATCAGGAGCTGTATTTGCATGCACAGGTATTAAAGTTTAAAACTTTTTGCTTTTCTTTCTGTTTATTTCCTCTTTAGATTTGGCATATGTAAGAGGGCGGAGACACCTTTTAGATCAGACTTATAAATAAAATAAAAATGAGTATGTTGATAGTATTAGAGAAGCAGTTTTGAAGGTTTAATGGACTCTTTTTGCAGCCGTTCAACAAGGCCAGCAAAGACCGACAGCAGACGAGAACAGGAACAGGTGGGCATCATGCATTGCCCCCTGGGTAATGCTGTTTGTTTGGGGCCATTATGACTTGCCCGGAGAAACAGAGATTGATAGGGCAGAATAGTGGGCCAGCTTGTGAGGAGTGCTGCTGGGAAATATAAAAAAATCCCTGGACACTAAAGACAAAGATAAAATGATCCTGCAGTTTTGCACCAGTGAGTTCAGACCCACTGCTTTCACTATTTCACCACATTAACAATCATAGGCTTATCTCCTTTAGTCTAATTTTAGTTTTAATCAATGATAAAGTTAAGATGAAAAACACATTTCTATAAAGGGACCTATTCTTTTCATGGTACAATACATTAGTCATAGCGCCAGTCGCTGATGCTCATGTCCTGACGTGACACACTGAATCAACATAGACTCACAAGTCTCGACTGTGTTCGACAAATAATGTAGATCTGAATAAAAGAAAATGACTGTGATTTCTGCCCGGCTCCAAAAAGGCACAAAGAGACCCCAAACAGAAGCAGAGCTGAATGCTGACAAAAGGTCTGTGGATATTTCAAATGTAATATCAGTGACTCACTGAGCCCGGCCGCATAATACATGCCAACCCATGACTAAGGGGAGTACAGGCACTCGTTTTTCCACTAAAAGCACCACTGACATGGTGTGTAACAACACAGCAGTGTGCCTAAAAGAGCAGCTTGATAACTTGTGACAACATCAACCTTTTCAGATGTTTTCTGGGTAATTTCAGGACATTCACATCCTGAAAATTTCTGGAATTGCCTCTCACGTACTTTCCATGTCTGAATAAGGTGGTTGCTAGGGGAGTTAATTTTGACAGCTATTTCCGAGTTAATGTTTAGTTGAAAATACTCAGTCTTTTTATAATTTTAATAAAGTTTTAATTGACAAAAAGTAAAAACTTTTTAGTCAAAACATATTTTCTCTTTGAACTAATTCAAACAACCGAGTGATTTTGTTTGAGTTTAGAGTTTTCTTGCAAAGAAGCAAATGTCTGTCGAGCGCATCACGAATTTGCCTCATTTGTACCTGTAATAAGCTTGATTCAGTTGCATCATTAGCGTTGTCCAACAAGATCTCGTGTCTAATCATGTTTTTACACGGAATTTATTTGTGCAGAAGATTTTGTTGGTGTGAATTTACACGTTTTCTTTGACCTCTTTTGTTTGTAGGGCAGACGGACAGAGGATTTAGACGGACACACGCCTAGCCCCCAGAGTCCTTAAAGAGATATTCCAGCTTAAAATTAATTTAGGGTCAAACACACAGTAACACAGAGTTTGACACCCCCTCGAGAGATGAATGTTGCCGACCGCTTGCTTCTCTAGTTAAACCAACTTTAGTAAAGACCGCAGGATAGCAATACAGAGAGCCATGCACTCAACCAAAAGGCCACTCTATAGCCACAAATAATGCTCAGAACAGCACCTAACTTCATCAACAGGACATATAGGGTCACAGACATAGTGCTAGACACCAAACATCTTTTTAACTTTGACTCATTTCTTTAGCAAAGAGACTAAACACAACTCACCTCCAGTCCATTACAGACTACAGTGGGGTGCCGCAGCTCAAGGAAGAACATTTATGGTTTTAATGGAAAACTATCAAATAGTAAACAGATGTTGCCCTGGTAACTGGTTTGGCTTAATTACTGACATGCGTCTGGTGTCGTTTTTAGGAAAAAAGCATTGAGGCAGGAAGGATTTGTACTCACATTGTTCCCAACACTGCATTGCTCATAGGCTATTTGAGCGACAGGTTGGTCGCCAATCATGGAGTTTGAAAGACTTAAAGTTAACCCAAATCATTTTTGTCTCGCCAACCTGACAACAAAACCAAACCATGGTTTAGTCTGAGTTTTTTTGATCAGAGACGTCTTTTTAGCTCGGGACCATCTCCACTTCTTCTTCTTCAAAAAAGGTTGTTCGTTCATTGCTGTAATTTTTGTCACTGAAATAAACAAGATCGTTTTCATTCACACATGCTCCGAACTAGTAATTTTTTCAGGAGTGCAGAAGTACCTGTGTGAAAGGAGCTTATAATTTTCTAACTTTTAAGGAAACTTGTGAATTTATCTGAGAACTAAAAAAAAAGGTGTTAGGCGGCACTCAAACCCACGACGGTCAAGGCTCGAATTGCTGAATTATTGTCAACTTTTGTCAGAAACGTAGCCTGTGAGTAAACAGAAATTAGTAAGTGGGTAGGTGTAGACTGAGTCCTTTTGCTTGAGGTCCCAACCCACTGAAAAAAAACATCACGACGAGTGTTTCGCTGACTCTGTACCTTCGAGTAAAACTGTTGACTAATTTTAAAAGGAGAGGTGAAGTGACATAGTTCACAAAAAGTTCCTCTTGGTATACTTGCTAATGAGCGACTGTTAAAAAATAAAAAAGGTGATGGTGGACTACGTAGTGGGCATTGGCATTCAGATGAAACTGCAGATTAATCCAGCAGGATTAGCTCCGCCTGGGTGACAGTGGGTTGAACAGCAGTTTAAAGGTTCGGAGGGTTCGGTGTAAGTGCGCGAGGTCACATCAGAAGAGACAGTACAGCTGAGCTTGATACTCTCGATACACCGCCGGGCCTCATGAGAGGTCGAAACACAACATAACTTCGCTCTGCCCTCATCATGCCTTTGGACTTTTCTGATCCTGCGACAATGTCGTCCTGGAACCCCGCTGTGGGTTCTACAGAGCTGGAAGGTTCTGCAGAAGCACCAGAGGCTCTGACAGCTCACGGTGATCCCATCCTGCCCCTTCATCACCTCTGTTACTCCCCCTACAGCTGGCACAGCGGTGGGACGGATTGGTCTTTTTGGTACAGTTACATTAAACATGATGCGTCACTCAGGCCTCACTATTGTACCCTGAATTAACAGTAGTGGTCTGTTGTCAACTGTTTACATTATAAGTCTATCTTATCTCTGTGTGTGAATGAATCTTTAAATAATGAGTGTCTTCAGTTTGAGTGTTCACCTGGACTGAGAACAGTCCTTCCTACCTCACTAACTACCAGTGTTGTTGGATGGGATATAAAGAATTAACATACCAAAGACTCAAAATGATCATATTACAGGAAAATTATCGTATTATTCTCAACTGACTTCTCGACTGAGCATGATTGACGGCCGGTCATGCTTGTTGTTTGGAGACAAACGTCACTCAAACTACGATTGGATGGAAACATTACGTGGCAATGGTATGCCTTTGAAGTTCGCAAATAAAAACTGAAAAATAAGGTGTGGCAGACTGAGAGTTGTATTGCACTGCAAATTCACCAAACTGTCAAATTATCGAAATTTGGCCTTTTTTCTAGGTTATTGTTTGTACATCGTGCGATAACTATCGTACACCTGGTGACCATGATAACTACCTTAAATCTTGCTCGTTGTTTGCGAGGCACTGATGACAGTACTCAAGTACATTTACTTTGTCAGTATCTTATGTTGTTTATGTGGCTGGTTTGTAAATTTATGTACTCAAACTAAGAATACTGAAAACTCTCAGTTCATATTACTAGTCCCTATGCTGGGTAATGCATCTTTTAATAAAAGATAGATTAGGAGGAAGTAGTGGACGGTTATCAAACTTCCTATAATAGCACCAAAATTCATTTTGAGTCCAAAAACAACATTTACTAATCAACTATATTGACAGTTTTTTCACAGATCTACCTGAAGTACTACACTTCAAATTAAAAGCACAGTTTGGCATAAAGACAACCTAAATGCAAGGCAGAAAAACTATCAAAATAAAAGCATGATAATTGTTAGCGGGGCTGTTTCAGTCTTTCTGTTTGCGTTTTCTCAACTTGACTGATTCTGTTGGTTTATTTTCAACTTTCCATAAATATCACAGTTACGTTGTTATTGTTTTACAGCCACAATAACTGTGAGGTGAAAATTGGACATCATGACAACTCAAAAGCAAATTCAGGATGGATTACCATAGGAGTGAATTCTCAGTTTGCCAATGTGGAAATCAAGTGTTTTTTTGATTTGATTGATTGAATGGAAGAAGGCTGCAGTGTTGTGCCCGACTAACAAACACTCACTCACTCGTAAACAGACTGTTTTCGTCTTTTAGCGTTTACAATTCAAATTGATACCAGGATAAACAGTG